TGTGCTTCACTTTGGCTCACAGAGTAACCTCAACTAAGGTAAAGTGGATTTTATATTCGCACACTTGTTTAGTGACAGCTTGTGTGACACACTCTCAGTATTGTTTACCATAGTACTTTTATTATAATGACTAAAATCACACGTAAATGACTTAAAAACCACATTAGCACTATTAAACTGACAGTGAACAATGTTGTACTTTGATAGTCATTGGCTGCTAACATGATATTAGGGATTAGCAAATAATACTCTTCTGAAATTATATTATTAGGGAGAAAGTCAGAATGTGTGAATATAAAACCAATTTTACCTCAGACATTCACCTCGTTCATCGGGTAAAATATTATGACCCCTATCGTGAATTATTTGTGCATGGTATTATTTGATAACAAAAACTAGAAGGGCAAAGAATTACTACTATATTTCTATATAATGCAGGCAGGTAAACTCACACTATCTTTGACTTTTTTTTTTTTTTTTAATATTGGAAACGTGTAACCATTGACTTCCATATCTGTTTTTCCCACTATAGAAGTCAATGGTTAAAGATTTTTAGCGTTCTTCAAAATATCTTGGTTTGTGATCAACAGAAGAAAGTCAATAAGGTTTGAAACCACTTGAGGGAGAGTAAAAAAATTTCCGTCCTGTCAATGAGGAAAGGCACTTTTTATTCACATATGAGGAATATTCATCTTGTAGAAGAAAAACAAATAACATTCAAAAAATTGAAGTTTGTTCTTACATGCTCAACTTATAATGGGTACAGTCTACTGTATATGTGAGATGGTTTGCAGTTCACTATCCAGGGGTCTGCAAATGTGGTTGGGTTTTCTGTATTGTGTTATATTAAAAATCATATGGTGAATTTTAAAATATACATTATTAATAAACATGATTTCAACTTTTGCATTATTTCCCCAGAATATATGCATCAGCCCTCACTGCGTGTCTGACGGTGGACTACTGGAGGTCTTCACAGGCTCGACGAGAATGCAGAAGTGGCCACTACATTTGCTCTCCTTTCTAGATCCTTCCAGCGGGTTTAAAAGGATGAAGCTGTCGGCATCTTTTTACACAGCATTCACAATTTAACACACATTAAAGACATGATGGTGTGGTACCCACATAAACGTTGGCCAACTTACTGAAAAATTATTTTAGGTTTACTTTTAAATGGGTCAGATGATATATTTTTCTTTCAGTATACACACACTCACACAGATACTTATGCATATATAAAGAGTAAAAATTCTGGGTATTAACACTGCTTATGATTTTGTGCTATATAAATAAAACTTGAACTTGAGTTGCATTTAGAATTTGAACTTGAATTAGGGTTGAGGTTTATTTAATCATAAATGCAGATCAGATCTGTTGATCAAATCTTTGTAAATATTTTATACTATAACAACTGTACTTGTCTTTTTATGGATTGTTGTCTAAATGGGATCTGATACAGATAATCTTATACCCAATGAAAGAATGACAAAAAGACATATTTAAAAACGTATTTTAATTGTTTTAATATTTGATGTTGTTTTTATTTTAATACAGAAGCTCTGAAAACCATTTGAAAAATAAAAAAAGATTTTCCAGTACCTTGTTTACATGTTTCTGCATTATTCCAGACGTTCTGTGTTATTTGTGTTTTGTATTCACTTATCTACTATTAAAAATAGTGTTAATGTGGCATAACTGTGTTAAATGCTCATTAGTTTCTGTACTAGTAAGTATTAATACTTATAGATGATCAATACTAGCTTTGCTGTTGCCAGATAAGATTTTGTTATCTTACATATCTCTCTGTAAGCCAACACTGCCCTCACCATAAACCTGCTCTATTCTCCCTCACAAAAGAGTTAAATTACACTTCTCTGACTGCTGTTCTGTCTGCTGGTCTGTCCACAGGCTTATAATTGTATGGCTGTGGTCTGTCGTTTGTGTGAGTCTCTCAGAATATCTTTTCTCGGCAACCAAATGCGCACCACGATCAGTTGTCTTCATAGTGTTTATATGCGCAAACTCACTGATCCGTTGCACTTCCGGTCTGGCGATTCAAACACGGAAGTAAATTTCTGTGACTTAAAAGGACTCCAAACAGCTTAATAATAAACTTTAACGTATATTTTAAAGAAAATCTAATTCTTACTTTACTCTTACACACATTGTCTCACTGGGGTGTCTAACCTACAATATGCTCTTTAATATTCACAAACTGGTAACGGTCAGTTAAGTATGACTTAAACCATTGTAGAGCCTGTCCCTGGACACCTGTAGACTTTAAGCAATTTATGAGGATATTGTGGTCAATGGTGTCAATACCGCACTAAGATCGAGTAGAACTATTAGCGAGATGCACCCTTGGTCAGCAGCTAAGAGTAAATCATTGGTTATTTTCACGAATGCGGTTTCTGTACTGTGATGAGACCTGAAACCGGACAGAAACAACACTTCAAAAATATTGTTCGTCTGCAGAAAGGAGCATAATAGAAGTAGGCCTGAATATATGCGCTGATTTGTTGAAATAGGCCTATATATTAGCTAAGTTGTTGGGATCCAGTTGCGGTTTCTTAATAATAGGCTTAATAACAGCTAGCTTGTACGAGTTTGGAACATGGCCTATAGATAAAGAAGAGTTGATAATGTTAAGAAGAGGTTCTCCTATAGCAGGTAGCAGCTCTTTCAGTAATTTTGTTGGAATCGAGTCCAGCGTACACGTAGCTGGTTTAGAGCTATTTATAATTTTATCTAGCTTTTCCTGTTCTATGATTTTAAAGCACTGTAAGTTATTATTATTATTATGACTCAGTGAAAAATTTACAGGATTTGGAGTATAAGCCAGTGCAGAAAGTTTGGCATCTCCTATTTTCTGTCTAAAGCCTTCTATTTTATTACTGAAAAAATTCATGAAGTCATCACTACTAATTTGCGGTGGAACATTTTGTTCCATAGTTGACCAATTATTTGTTATTTTAGCAATGGTGTTAAATAAAAATCTAGGATTGTTATGATTATTTTCTATCAGTTTGCGGAGGTGCTCGGCCCTGGCAGATTTTAGAGCCCTCCTATAGCTGGACATAATGTCTTTGTACGCAATTCTAAAGACCTCTAAATTAGTTAATGTTGTAATGTGCTAATGTTGTTTTTAATTCATATTTATGTGTGATTTCAGTCATTATGTTCAAAGTACTATGGTAAACAATACTGAGAGTGTGTCACACAAGCTGTCACTAATCGAATGTGCGAATATAAAATCCACTTTACCTTAGTTGAGGTTACTCTGTGAGCCTACAGTGAAGCACAGTTGAGCGAGAATCCCGTGGAGAGAAAGCCTTCAGCTCCGCGTCAGCATGTCTCCCAAAGTCTAATAAACACACCAAAAAGCAAACAAAGTCACAACGCTGTAACTATACAAGACATTTATTATACTAGCAAACTGATGCTACTAGCCGTCTTATCATATGTTGACATTTTTACACGCTTTAAAAAAGTATATTTAATATGCTTAACAATACAAGCTAGCAGCCGTGCTAGTCTACTCCAAAGTAAACACATTGCGTTGCTTCAAATTACTTAATCATGCTCACTGACTTGAAAGTTGACAAACATAAATGAAAAACGAGTTGTCTTACCGTGTACAGCTCTTGTTTTCATCGAGCTGCATCTCCGACTGATCCAGGAGTGTTTCTCTCTGTTTTCGCTTCTGCTATTATTCTTATGATTCATCCCATTTCATGAACCAAAATAGCAACATGAAACTTGTGGACTAGATATGTTGACAGACTGGAGTTGTGCAGTTCCCATAAACGTAATAAAATAGCACGATGATGATAAATTACACCAAAACTAACAACCATTTCTGCTGTTAGCTCCTCTGCCCCACTGTAAACAACGCATACCTGTCACATAAGTCACTCTTCTGATGTCCTAGAAGTAAAGAAACTTTACAAATAAAAGATGCAACATAGGACAATTGAATGGGTTTTCTAAACTTGAGGCCCTGGTATATGCAAACTAACTGTCCTGGAGCTCCACCTTCTTTGAAGTGTGGTGTCTTCCCAGTGATGCTACTCATTCAGGGAGTCAGACAGAGAACATCATCCAAAACAAAACTAGCAACATGAATACACTTGAGAGTGGAGTACAGATGTATCTGCACCTGTACAATCACTTGCAAAGAGAGATTTTAATCCACAGAGGTGCTGTTTGCCAGATGTTTATGATGTTTGCCAGATGTTCTTTCAGCCGCCATCATTGTGTTTACAGTAAACGTGAGGAGCACAACACATTTACAACCCCACCTATAGCAGTGTAGGAGTGTTGGAAAACAGTATACCGTCACTCAGCCTTTTCAAACATTATTCAGACATGAAACATCCTGTGCCCATGAGAAAATGTTTTGCTGCGTTCATGTCATGTGTGCAACTTTTGTCCAATTCTGTAGACACTGATTAGATCTGTACGGTTTCTCTCCAGTGTGAATCCTCTTTTGTGTGATTCAGATGTGTTAACTGATTAAATCTCTTGTCACAGTGTGAACACTTGTATGGTCTCTCAAGTGTGAAACGTCTGGTGCAGTTTCCATTTTGTAATAAAAGTCTTCTCACACTCAAGCACATATACTCTTTCACACCAGTGTGGATCTTTATTTGTTCATTAAGGTCTGAGGAGTTGTTGAAACTCATCCCACACCGAAGCTGCGGTCACACTAGAGTTTGAGCATGCGAAATTGTGTTGTTTGGCGCTGCGAAAAGGGGCGGGATTAAACTAGATGATTAGACATAAAAAAGTGAGCGATTGGTACATATTTTACATTTCTGTCCATAGAGGTCATGTTTTTATCTTTAATTGGTCTCACAGTCAAGTGATGAGATTTCGCGGGTCAGAGTTTACCAAGCTTAAACTTTGCAACGCAGTGAACTGCGAAACTTAACACACAAACTTGGTTTGTGGTCTGACCCATTCCGTGCTTATGAAAGGAAATCTATGGGCAAGTGAATGGTTTCTCTCCAGTGTGGATCATCATGTGTCGATTAAGGTGTGATGATCCGCTGAAACTTTTTCCACATTGAGTGCATGTGAATGGTCTCTCTCCAGTGTGCATCTTCATGTGTTCATTAAGGTGTGATGATCGGCTGAAACTCTTCCCACACAGAGTGCATGTGAATGGTTTCTCTCCAGTGTGGATCCTCATGTGAATCTTAAGATCCCATTTTCTTCCAAAACTCTTCCCACACTGAGTGCATGTGAATGGTTTCTCTCCAGTGTGGACCCTCATGTGTTTATTAAGGTGTGATGAGCAGTTAAAAGTCTTTCCACACTGGGTGCAAGTGAAGGGTTTCTCTCTAGTGTGGATCTTCTTATGTCGATTAAGGTGTGATGATAGGGTGAAACCCTTCCCACATTGAGTGCATGTGAATGGTTTCTCTCCGGTATGAATCATCATGTGTTCATTAAGGTGTGATGATCGGCTGAAACTCTTCCCACACTGAGTGCATGTGAATGGTTTCTCTCCAGTGTGGATCCTCGTGTGTTCATTAAGGCATGATGAGTAGTTAAAAGTCTTTCCACACTGGGTGCAAGTAAAGGGTTTCTCTCTAGTGTGGATCTTCTTGTGTCGGTTAAGGTGTGATGATAGGGTGAAACCCTTCCCACATTGAGTGCATGAGAATAGTTTCTCTCCAGTGTGGATCCTCATGTGAATCTTAAGATCCCATTTTCTTCCAGAACTCTTCCCACACTGAGTGCATGTGAATGTGTTTTCTCCAGTGTGGATTGTCATGTGAGTCTTAAGATCGAAATTTCTTCCAAAACTCTTCCCACATAGAGTGCATGTGAATGGTTTCTCTCCGGTATGAATCATCATGTGTTCATTAAGGTGTGATGATTGGCTGAAACTCTTCCCACACTGAGTGCATGTGAATGGTTTCTCTCCAGTGTGGATCCTCGTGTGTTCATTAAGGCATGATGAGTAGTTAAAAGTCTTTCCACACTGGGTGCAAGTAAATGGTTTCTCTCTAGTGTGGATCTTCTTGTGTCGGTTAAGGTGTGATGATAGGGTGAAACCCTTCCCACATTGAGTGCAAGTGAATGGTTTCTCTCTAGTGTGGATCTTCATGTGTTCATTAAGGTGTGATGATCGGCTGAAACTCTTTCCACATTGAGTGCATGTGTATGGTTTCTCTCCAGTGTGGATTGTCATGTGAGTCTTAAGATCGAAATTTCTTCCAAAACTCTTCCCAAATAGAGTGCATGTGAATGGTTTCTCTCCAGTGTGGATCCTCATGTGAATCTTAAAATCCCCTTTTCTTCCAAAACTCTTTCCACACTGAGTGCAGGTGAAACGATTCTGGTCTCTCCTTTTCAAAATGCCATCAGTCTGTAAATTAGTTTTTTCCTCAATTTTGACATGATGTTCCTCCTCTTTCCTTCCCTTATTCTCTTCAATTAGGTCTGAAATAAATAAAACATTAGTTTTCATTAAGTCTTTAAAACTCTCATCAAAAGCTGAAAAGTGAAAAGACACTGGAGACATTGGCTACACACACTGTAATTTTGATGCATGGCGAATGTAAAATAAACCAGATCATATTTTGTTTGGTCCATTAACGTGTCCACATTCAAGCAGATTCGATTCATCTTTATTTATCTAGTGCTTTTACAATGTAAATTGTGTCAAAGCCGCTTAACAGAAGTTATAGTGAATTGAAACTGTGTCAGTCCAGTTTTCAGAGTTTCTTAAATAATTGATCATAAAAGCCATTTTGGTCATATGGATAAGACACAAATTTGAAAGCTGTAAATGGCTATTTTTAAAACAAAATGTTTTTCTAAAATTTGTATAGCAGACAGGGAATACTTGTTCATTCTGTGCCTGACTGGTCAACATATCAGAAAAAAAGTTCTGGGGTAAAAGCTGAATATTTGCCTCGCAGACATGAGACATACCTGTCCAGCATCTGCATAAAGGCTGGAATGTGCATATTTCCCATTGTGTGCTGTTGGGTCAGTTTCATCCATTCTAGGGGATTTTAAAGCTAAATTTTGCCAAAGCTTTCTCTGTGTTTCAGAAAACGGACTGATATTTAGGGGACATCTTATTTTAACATATTCTGGGAAAATGCTTTGAAAAAAAAAATCAATACACTGGGCAAATTTACTCCCTTTTCATTATATTCATGGCTGTTTTTTTCTCCATTGGCCTCTATTATAACTATTTTTTTTATTGCAAAGCCATGACAGCATATAATCATGCATTTATGATAGTTGGTGTTTTCTGTGATGACAGTCAACATTGTTTAATTGGTCTCCATCCATAAGACGGCAAAAAGGAAATGGGTGAGAGAATAAAGGAGGAGGAGGAGAGTTGAAGAGGGCAGCATTATGTGGTGTGCGGAAGAAAGAGAAGTTGACTGAACTTTTGCAGTGCAGGAAACGAGAAGAGAAACTGTCGAGACAAGCAGTGTAAATTTAACGATTGGCTGTGAGAAACAAAAAGCGAAAGTACGTATTGAAGCAAACATAAAGTCCCTTTAAGTACTCTACAGTCTTTGATTCAGATTAAAGTGTAATTTAAAGATTAATTAGGTTATGTTAACTAGGAAAGTTGGAATAATTAGTCAAGTTATTGTATAACTGGTTTGTTGTGTAGACAATCAGTAAAATATACAGTAAATATTTCTTAAGAAAGCTAATAACACTGACTTAATTTTTGTTTTTATTAAAACTGCTTTTATTCAAGAAATAAACTATAACAAATAAGACTTATTATGACTCCAGAAGAATTATTTGTGTTTTATAGGAAATATTGTGAAAATCTCATTGGTTTAATTTAGATCACTTGGGAAACACTATTTTAAATTAATGGGACTGGGAAAAATGGACTTCAACTGCATCTGTTAAAGTTTACAGGTGTAAAAATGTGCCTTGATGTACTGGAATGTTTAAAATGTGTTATCCTACAATACAAAGTTACTTGTCAAATAAATGAACATGGAAGATTATTTCGAGTTTAAGTTATTTAATTAGCTTATTTATGAAGACAGGGCAGCACAGTGGCGCGGTGGGTAGCACAATCGCCTCACAGCAAGAAAGTCTCTGGTTCAAGCCCTGGCTGGGTCCATTGGCATTTCTGTGTGGAGTTTGCATGTTCTCCCCGTGTTGGCGAGGGTTTCCCCCACAGTCCAAAAACATGTGGTATAGGTGAACTGGTTAAGCTAAATTGTCCGTGGTGTATGAGTGTATGGTTGTTTCCCAGCGATTGGTTGCAGCTGGAAGGGCATCCGCTGCGTAAAACATATGCAGGATAAGTTTGTGGTTTGTTCCGCTGTGGTGACCCCAGATTTATAAAGGGACTAAGCCGAAAAGAAAATTAATGAATGAATATTTATGAAGACTGCAGAGTGATGCATAAAAATGACTTCGAATAATTGTTTAAACAGTTTGTGATGTATGTTAAAGTGTGCCCCCTAAAAGTAGAAGTGGCCCCTGCCCAGCCCCCCCAGTTACTGTGGTCTAGAACCGCCACTGGCTGACGGTCTTGCGTTTCATTGTAATTATTGTTATATTGTTTGTTTTGGACATGGCAGGGCCATATAAAGACGCAAACTGTTGAAATTCTCATGTGAAACTTAACATTTCATTTAATATTGCTCTTATCCTAAATACTATTAGCGGAAATCCAAACTATACTGGAAAATAAGTGTTTAAGTGTCGGAGTCTAGCTGTTCTGAGCGTAATCCGAATTGAATCAGGATGAAAAAAGGCCAAAGCAACCGTATTGAGGTGGAATCCGCTACTAGCCCCCATGCTAATGCTAACCCCAAAGTGCAAGCTGTATCTAAGAAAGAGACGGCTCCAGCAAATGACAACAGTGCGGTCCTTCAAACTATTGATGCACTAAAAGATTATTTGATTGCTAAAACTGCAGAAAAGGCCATTGCACAGTCAAATGAACTTTGCAATCAAATTGACCAGCTTCAGACAGAGTTACTCTGACTCTGACTTTGCTAAAAGACCGAAGCAAGTATCTTGAGGAAAGGTCTCACCGCTCAAATCTCCACATTACGGGAGTTAAAGAAGGACGGGAGCAACGCAGACGTGTAACGGAATTTGTAGCTGGCGTCCTAAAAGATACCCTGAACCCCAAGAAGACTCCACTTCTGGACCAGGCACACTGCACTCTACACAGCAAACCAGTGGACGACAAGCAACCGCCACGAACCTTCGTGATTAAATGCCACTACTTTTCCGAAAAGAGGATATTTTGAAGAAAGACATTGAAATAAAGGCAATCACGACAGTACACTGGGCTGTCAAAGATGATACAAATGTTAATGTCACTCTTCGGTTAACTTTTAAATTACCACTATAGCACATGTTCGTTGTTGTTATTTCTAGTTCTCAAGTATATTTTGTCAATAATAGGGTAGTTTTGTTTTTGTTTCAATATTGTGTTGTTTCGTGTTTATAGGTGTATGTGCGATCACCCCTTTTTTCTCTTTCCTCTCTTTCCCCCATACACCCCCCTACATACAAAACCCACAGATACCTTTTGGATGCTTCTGATAAATGTTTTTGACAGCCCTCCATAAAATGGGTGGAGTAAAGACAAACTACCAGTTGGAATGTGCAGGGGCTAAATCACCCAGTGAAACAAAACAGGGTGTTTGTATATCTTAATTATTAAAAATCTGAAATGTTATATTTACAGGAGACACATCTGTTGAAAAAAAAGAATATTCTAAACTTAATAGAGGAGGCTATACACAAATATATCATTCTAACTTTGCAAAACTTAGTAGGGGCGTTGCTGTACTCATACATAGGAATGTACAGTTTGTTATGGAGTCAAATGTGTAGGATAAAAATGGCAGAAATGTAATAATCCAAGGTAAACTTTTTAAAAAAGTGCACAATGTTGATTTATATTAAACTTAACTCATATCTGACTCCAATTTTAGTATGAGATGGTTTAGAATATTAATATGTTTATCCTCGTTTTATCTGACTCCAATTATAAAACATTAAGAAGGTTATTTTGTTTCCGTTCACATTATTTTAGATACGTTCACATTTTATGATTGAATATTCTCTTCGGTTCATCATTTTATGTTATTCTCGTTCATTTGGATCTCTATAACATCCTGAATCTTGTACCGGCCGAGTATACAATTTCTTAAGCACAAGCATGTCAGTCTTGGTCACTAAACAGTGGCGATTGACCACTATCCTAAAAAGGCAGAACCCTACTTACTCAGATTAGGATATTTTTTATGCGGTCCCCATAGGTCTGCTACCTCCTAAATCAGACAGAGCTATTTAGTCATATAACGATCATTACTATAGAATTAAGCAGACCAGTCGTACTTAAACTAGTAGTAACTTTGAATAATCACTATACTATCTAAATAGTATTAAAAGTTTATCGGGTGAAGGACTATCCCCTTAGATATCCTTTTACAGCCTAAGTATACATGAATAAATGCCAATTTGTTAGTCGGAGCTCTAGAGACATCGTATAGCGTGCCGCAATGCTCCGTCTACCGTGTCCTAGTCCGCTACTAACCTGAACAGGGGCTTGTGGTGCTATGAAATTACCACAATCTACTAAAGATAATAACACGAACTCTGTTTGAGTTTGTGACATTCAAAACATAACAATTTATTAGTCAGGAAAATGTAGTATGCCAATTCAATCAGTCAATTCATAAACGATCAATACAAAACATCAAATTATTAAAGATAAATCCAAGATGAAAAAGATGCATTCCTGACTTTGAAATATACATAATGTGTAAATTTTACATAACGTGGAGCCTAAGCTCCATGTTATGGGCTGATCTGGGTAGGCAGAATCGCGCTGAGTTTTTCTTAGACCTTACCTTAAATAATCCAAGAATTCCCTCAAGGAAGGGGGTGTGTGTGTAAAAAGTCACACCCTTCACAGTGGTTTAAAAGATGCCTGAAGTTATATATTTATTGTTTTGATTATGTCTATTTCTGAGAGAATGAGACCATTGTACCAATCGCACTGAGACATTTCAAATGATATCAAACATGATAGTTAAAGTCAGTTTGGTTAGTCTAAAACATTGAAATGACCATATGTGTGAGTTGGGGGGATGAAGCTGAGTCTCAGCATAGTCAG